TTCCTTATTATACATATGAATAAATTTATTTTAAAAAATTGGAGTAATATAATAGACTTTGAGGCAAAAATCTTAATCTTCAAATTAGTAATTTTATTTTTTTTCAATTTTCAAAAAACTGAGCAATATTCAAAAATGATACTAGGACTATATTTTTATTGTCTCTTTTAACATGAGTGAAGAACATTTATAGAAACATTTTAGAGCGGTTTTTGTGATTTTCTTGTTGTAAATTTCAATCTCAAATTACGTGAAAACTATTGCTTTTTTCAAAACGTTATACCTGGCCTTTTTTATGTGCTAATTTTGTACAACAGACTTTGACGGTGATAAAAATCTCTATCTCCAATTTTGAAGTTTCAAATACTTTCTTCCAAATTTTGGAATACCAGAGATGTCTACGAAAATGAGACCTACATGTTTCTCTAAAACGTCCTTTGCACTATTCAGCAACAAAATTTAATCAAAAATTTGGAGCATTTGTTTGAAAATTTTGAAAAGGGTTTATGCGCTAGCGTTGTGTACAGACGGACAGATTGTTTTGCCGTCAATCGATTTTTCGGTATCAAGGACCCCCAAAACATGGATTGTTTACATCACGAGTTAGAGTTTTTTCTGTATTTAGCAACGGAATTTATCCACTTTTTCCTTACCAAGGCTCTGCAATAAGAGTTTTTGTGTCGAAAATTAGCCATTTTCCGTCGCACATTAAAATACTTTCTCTTCCTACGTTAGTAAGTACGAGAAAATTAAAAACCGTGTATTATTGTTTTTGGTTGTCTTGCCCTAACAAAGGGGGATTATAGTAGAAGTCCCTAAATAAGCAAGCAGAATGCTAAGCGTCGTCGTGGTGACAATTTCGAAAGCTTCTCTATTCCTCAGCAATCTCCCAACAGCCCTGACAAGCTCTAACCTTCCGACCAGGTAGTGTAGTGCATGTTAGTGTAAGTATGTGTAAATGATGAGGATATGACAAGGAAGAGGAAGGGAAGAGCGCGCGCTGTCCGTGTCCCGTTTTTGAGGGTACTGCGCCGGCATTCGCCTGGTGTTGATCGGAGAAACAACAGAAAACTAGCGAACAGAGCAGCCGGCCTCTATAGACAGGAACTGATTTCTTCCTGGCAGGAAAGTTCGACTTAGCTGACAAGGTAGACAAGAAAAACCTGTCACTGTCGGGACTTGAACCTAGGACCTCCCGGTCAGAGGCACTGCGTGTGACTAGTGGATACTCTGAGCCACATTTCGTTTTGTTCTTGTTTCATTTGTTGAGAAAGTCCGTCCTAAAATAAGAGATGTAATAAGAATTTCCTTGTTTCTTACAGCTGCACCGTGTGTGTATCACCCCCTCCCCTGAGCGTAAGGACCCGAGTGAAGGGGTGGGGGTGAGGTCGGGCAATACCGGCGGGGAGGGGGAGCAGCAGCCAATAATCGGCTCATATGGCGCCGCGAGCGTGAACGTAAGGGATCGAGTGGGGGCGGCTATTACGGAGGCCGTCGACCCGGGTAGGGGGGGGGGAGGGTCGTAGTGGCGACCAGCGGCGCTGTTAACTCCCAGAGGCAGCTCCAGGTCGCAGCCCATCGCCCGCCACGCCCCCTCCCTCCAACCCTCAGATCACTCCCTTGTGCGCCGAGCCGTCGACCATCGTCCTTATTTGCTTATTTTTATGATTTCATTCGTAATGAACATACACGGTTCTTGCAGCATACATTTCATGTGAGGAATTCTAATAAATTGTTTACATAAATGAAGAATGTCCATGATAATACCTAGCGCACAATCTAACATACATAACACAAGAAAATGTTTAATTGGAACAAAAAAGTGCTTCCTTAATTCTTCCAAATAGCACGATAGATTTGGGACAGAATTTAAAGACATAAAATGATGTTAAGATGATAATTCGTTTTGTTCGATTGATTGGTTCGAATGATTCCGGCAGCGTCAACTGCAAAAGTCATTGGTCCCGTAAGTGTGTAGCATGTTCTATCGCGGGGGGGGGCACCGGCCTACGTCTGCTTGCGGGGATTTTCCCCAACTTGGTTTCCCCACCAGTTCGGCGCGCCCCAGCAGGGCAAACTATTAACTCGCGACTAGTGTGGTAATGTAATGCATGTGTGGAAAGGAAGAGGAAGGACTATTCTCGCGCGGTCCATGGCCCGTTTGTTAGAGTGTTATTCCGGCATTCGCCGGGTGTTGATCGTCGAAAACACGAATAACTTCCGTTAAGAGTTCTCGAATTCTCCTCGAGACAGCGGTTGGATTCGACCTAGCTAACGAAATAATGTCGAAAATTGTGCCTCCGTTGGGACGTCGCTTGTTGTTCTGAGCCAACTTCGTTATGTTTGACGAATACACCTTGTCCATACATCTTTGAGAGTAGCGCTCAGATAGAGAATATTCATACTATAAGAAAATATATTTTCATCACTTAAAAACATTAAATATTTCCATAAATATGTTAATAATAAGCTTCGATATCACTTGACTTTCGTTCATTTACTCTCTTTGTTTACATTTGTTGATTGACGTTGGTCATTTTATACCCTCGATTGTTGATCGATATCTTTCCACAATGGGTTTTGGACACTCGTCTGTCGCCTTCCTTCTTTCCTTCTCTTCATCCGTATTTCTTCTTTTGTCTATCTCTTTCAAATTTGATCTTTCAGTTTTGTCTATGATATTTAGTATTTTAACGTACGTCATTAGACGTTAGTTTTTCAACACATATTTTCCTACTTTCGTTTTTTTAGAATAGTTTTTGTCTTTGTAAGTTTGAATTTTGTTTTTTTGTGGTTGTTCGTCATCCGCTTTTCGATCGATCTTACATGTTAGACGTTGCCCTTTAGAACGTTCATAGATGGACGTTTGATCTTGGCCCTTCATTGCTCGTCGTTCCAACTCCTGTGCATCTGGCTGGAGTTGAAGCATTGAGATTTTGAAAAACATTCTTTAAAATTTGGGGATACTTTATAAGAAGTCCTATGAACATTTTGAAAATTTTCTTAAAATCCGCTCAAAATTTTATTCTCAACATTTCTTTTGAGAATGAAGTAACGTACACTTATAAAAGAGGCATAGGTCTGATTTTCATTGTTAACTCTAAATTTTCTCAATTTTCAAAAGTATGAATATTTTCGTTGTTTTCTTACAACTACAAAATTAATGATAGAGATTTTTCATTCAAATAAAATTAGTTTTCTATGTTCTTTCATTAACGTAACATTCATCATATTGGCATTACAGTAAGCATTCAACATGTTGACTTAAGCGCCAGTTTCTTAAAAACGGAACCAATTTTTAAAAGACAGTGTTTCAATTTAGGAATTTGTTTAACTGTTCTTTATATCCATAAATAAATATTTTAGTTCTACAACTAAGAAACCGAAAAATTAAGAAAATTTAAAAAAAATTGTAGTTTGGGTGGCGACAGATGCACAAAGGATGGGGAATGCCGATAAAAGCCAACACAAAAGAATAGAACTAATTGTGGGGAAAGTGTTTCACCGCTTCTGAACTAACATAGTATTTTTGTCTTTCCTTGTTTCCATTCCGCATTATTTTTCCGTATTTATCTCTAAAATTTGTCTTACTTTTACTCATTTCTACTTATGTTTTTTGACTTGCAACTTTTTGGGTTTTCCACAGTAGAGATTTCAATTTTCGAGACGTTTCATCTTTTGAGCAATTGATCTTTCGTCTTAGATCTTTCGGAAATAATGCATTGGTCTTTTCGTTTCTCGTCTTTAGCGACCGTCTTTAATAGTGATCGTAAATATCGGATCCTCCATGCCCACGCTCTCACGAACACATCTGTATACACTACGTTACCATAATGTTGGGACCCCAGTGTTGGGGCTTTAGTTGATCCGCTATGCGCGGTATTCTCGTTGAGAAGAGACATAGAGGAAACGAAGGCCTTCGCAAGCCTTCGCTAAATCGGCGCTGGTCCTCACATTCTCGAGATTAATCTGTGGATTACATAATATATATCTTTTCGGTTAGATCAATACTAAGCTTACTGAAGTAATGAACGAATTTCTTTCATTGCGGCAGGAATCAATACATATCTACTCAAACAATTATCATACTCTGATGTCGCATTTAATGAAGTACCATCTTAAGTGACTCAGGGCATCAATTGATGTGACTGCCGTTCCTCTGACCGAGAAGTCGAGGGTTCGAGTGCCCTTGTTGGCAGGATTTTCGATAGCTAGGTCGAATTCAGCCGTTGTTTCGGGGAGAATTCTGACAGCCTGCTTCTTTGATCAGTAGTTGTTTCCGATTAGCACCAGACGAATGCCGAAGCAGTACCCCAACAAATGGGTCACGGACCACGCGCGATCTTTATTCCTCTTCCTTGTTCTATCCTCTCCCCTTACACACACACACACGCTACACAAGCACATACGCGGAGTGAACGGTCGGGAACTTAGAGCGTTTCCTGGCTGGGGCGGTGCCTCGCTGGTGGGAGATACCTGGTTTAGGAAAACCGCGCAAGCTGACGTTAGCTCGGCGAAGGATCTCGCCGTCCAGGAGAGAGAATCTCGCCACCTCCCACAAAAAAATCATGCACTACACTTCCGGGACAGCCGACACTCGCCGTGGCCGCGCCCGGCACCACTAATCAATCAATGAGAGGTGGCTTTGGGCGGGCGCGCGCGCGCCGAAGGGGCGAGGCCTCGCTGCGCGCCGCCCCGCGCCGCCGTTTCCGCGCGTAACGGAATCCCCGCCTATTATTCGCCGCGTAATGAAGTTACAGGGGCGCAATTATCTCGAGTGAGCTTCGGCGGCGGCAGGACGTGAGCGAAGAGAGGGGCAGGGAGGGGGTGGAGGGGAGGGAGAGGAAGTGGAGGCCGAGAAGCGTCTGTTGGTGCATCGCGAGGAAAAATGGGGAAAATGGGACGAGAATGGCTCTGAAAGACGCAAATAAGCGAAAGCAACAAAATTATCTGATGTAAATATAACAATAATTAAATACAATAATATAATTAAAAATAATTAATAATAATATTTTTATTGTATTATGTCACGTATACAATGATAAATTGCACAATATTAGTTACAATGTGTTGAATTTAAGAGATACTACGTCGCAGAGGTTAACACCTGTTTGAAAACCGGAAATCTCTTAAGTAATAGTTACTTTATTAATCAATCGAACAAACACTACAATCAAAAAGAAAAAGACAAAAACTTAAAACACGACTCACAATGTAAAATACAAACAAAAGCAAATTAATATACAAGAGTAACTCCTCAATAAATAATTATGCATGTCGTACTCTACAATACCTATGCATTAGATGATTACAACGAAGGGAAAATGATTTAACTATACAACTACACTTGTTTCAGTTTATTTTGTAGATGAATTTTCTCTAAAACTCAAATTATCTCCTATTAAGTTTCTATTGATTGTAATATTTATATTGACCCAAACAGTTCCATTTATTATAGACAATCAGGTCAAAGATTAGAATTCAGTAAATAAAATGAAGGAAATTGGTTTACCACGATTTTCAGGTACATTACTTTGGCTAAAATTAAAATTAATAAATATTAAAAATGAATTCAATCAGTGTTAACGAAAAAGTCAGTGTAAAACAAAACAATATTAGTGAAAGCTAACCTTTCATAGATATACTACATATTTATGCAAATATGGATATTAATGCCAAGTTCAGTTATTTCATTGAAAGTATGAAACACAAAACAATGAATTGGACATGTAGGGGGTCAGGTAAGCACAGGGAGGGAGGAATGGAGTCAAAAATAGAAGAGACGGTTTGGTTGAAGATCAAAGACAGAAATCGATACATTTAAAATATGATTTAATTCTGCGTAATCTATTATCTTTTGTATTGGTGAAGTTGTTACAATCTATCAGCGAATTCATGGATTTGTTTAATTTAATATGTAATGTTTCATGAATTGTTCTGGCGAATCTCTTGGTTTCATTATCCAGAATTTTGACATATAGCAAAATCCAATTTATGACCCGTTTGTATTCTACATTCGTTATCTGCCTATAAAGTGACTACCTAATGTTCCTTCCATGTTCTCTGATTATAGTTTCTAATTTTCTTTTAGTCTGACCAATGTGTATTTTGTCACAAGTTTTACAAGTTGTTTAATACACAGACACAGTATTTTTCTTAATATCAAATGTTTTCTGTCAAACGTTTTATCTCTGCATTGATTTTAGTCCTCGCCGCGTTCACCGTCATCGTTTCCGTTGTCACGAGGCCACGGTTCTCCCTGAAGCAGCTGCGTTGGCTTCTTCCGGGAAACGGCTGGCTCCCGACGGAAACCTCGCCTTCTGTTCTGGGACATCAGCACTGGCTGCACACCTGCAACAATTTCATAGTACATTGGAATTTCGTATTCAGTTTCAAGTGGGCAGCAAATTCACTATTCATTTAAACTTTGAACGTAAACCTTTAGTTTCAACTTTCTGATCGTACACCATCAATGCTCCGTATAAAAGAATATGCAGTCCGTTAAAATTATTGAGGTATATGGGTTAATATATTGAGGTAGTGATAGAGTTATCACAACTGAAAATTTTTCATCTTTGAAAATGACTATTTCAAAAAAAGTATCTTGGTTCTTTTCTCATTTTTATTCTAATTAATGAGTAACTTGCGAAAGCAAAGCGTTGAAAAATATGAAAGCGGGGAAAATATGAATATGAGAAAAATGAACATGTTGTTGATTAAATACAACTTCCTCGATATAAATGTAACGTGAGCGTACACAAACGTATTCTGTTAACTGATACGTACTAAAAAGTACTGTATTCTACAACATTTTTGTAGAAGTAGTTAATTTTAAGAACGTTCTTTATTAAGTGCGATGTACTAGGTAGATTTGGATGACCAAGTAACTTTGTTTGAATTGTTGCTATGGAAACGAATGGTGTTTAAGGGTAATAGTTGTTATGGAAAAGAAAGTAGTTCAGGCACAGATTGAATGCTGTAAAGAATATTAAAGGCCGGGTAAATATAAAAAGGACAGTTTAATATTAATTTTATCAAATAATTGTTGTTGCATAAACGTAAAATGTTTGTGAGTAGTAATATCGTGTGAGTTGGCTCCAGAGTCAGTGGTTAGGTCTAAAGGCCCTAAGTACGTGCATAGTGCGGCTGTGGTTTAAAAGGCGGGTGAAGCACGGGTGCTTTAATTGTATTCGTAGCGTGGGGGCATTGCGAGTCGCTCTTGCATTATACCCTTTAATTCTTCCTTTATCTCTGGGTCTGATAGGCAATTCTTTTGTGTAATTGAGAAACTGAATGCATATACCCAGAAGAATGATTCAAGTACCGCGATGGGGCTTAAGGAAACTGTGGGCAAATATGTAACGGAACTGGGCCGAGATAGCGATGCGACGTTTGGGGAGCGCGAAAGTGCTGGGAACGTCCAAGTAGTGGCAAATACCGCAAGAGGCGCTGATAAGTGTTTCAGGCGCCAAAGGGCAGCTTGGGAAGGGGGTGGGGCAAACCCAGAAACCTAGCTCTAACTCATGAGGATAGGAAACTAAAGCCTGTGCCACTGATTAGTACCTCTGTTTTTTCTTGCCACGTTCAACAAATAAGTAAAGGTTATTCCCTTTAAAACCAAATTAAAACCATGCCAGAGGTACTAAAACAAAATAAAAAAGGGGGAAGTAACCGATAGAAAGACCATGGTAAGTGAATACGATACACCTGAAGAAACCTCACAGGAAGAGCAGTATTGAGGAACGTATCCTTGATAGTCCAAAAGACGTTAAAATCAATATATAAATAAAGGAAAAGAAAACTATTTAAAACGGGCCTTAGAAGTAGAATAAGAAAGCCAATGTATGTGAAGGACTATTCAAAAGAAAGGAAGAAAACCAAGAATATAGAATTAAAATTAGCCTCATCTGGAAGAAGAAGAAACGAACACAACAGAGTGAATAAAATTTGAAGTAAACAAATAATTAAACAAACAAGTAAATAAATTATTTAATACATTCTCTTGAAGAATGTGGCACATCTTTTGAATAACAAATGGTTTCCATTCACATTTGCTTCCGTGCTGAGAACAAAAATCTGTACCTCTGGGTGTAAATGTATCCACTGAACATTTTTTCCCTGCAGATACCTTCTGAAAGGTGAGTTCGACTGCGGCGCGACTATCGATAAAGGTCGAGCGCGGAGGAAATCGATGGGCGACCTCGCTACAAGAGCCCGCCGGCGCCGTGTATCTCTTCCTCGAGGCCTTCGCGCCCCGCCGGGTGGATTCCGGCTCCTTTGATGTGCAGTGGGGAGGAAAGGGCGATACACGTCACGCCGCCCCGCGCCGCGTTCCCCTTCTAGGGCGAAAACGCGAGGAGTGACAGGGAACTAAAGGCGAGCGGTGTGGGTGTGGGCGGACGCGGACGCAGCTGCTTTAATCCAGGTTAAGTCAAGCCTCGTTCCCGTCACACTGGATACGACGATACACTGGATCGTATCCACCATGGGCGTGGATTTTGTTTATTTACGAATATTACCGTTAATATTTCTTTACCGTGCATTTAAGTCCTAACAAAATTATGATTTAAATGCACGGTAAAGAAAAACTAAATTTCATTTTTTCTTAAATTTAAATTTGAAGACTCCAATAAATTTATTCACTGTATATTTGTTATTTTTATTATTAAGATTTCTTATTATTATTATTTTATTGATGTATACCAATTTCTATAAGCACGGTAAAGAAAATGGACATGGATCAATCATGAGGTAAAACGCGTAGGTCCTTCAGTGTCTTCATTCGGCAATGGCTGCAGTGCTGCGTGTAAAATTAACTGCAAGAGCATTTGGGGGAAATTTGGGAAATTATTTTTGTGGAAATAATTTTGGAGGATTGTCTGGGGGAAAATATTCCCATTTATTCTTACATTCTACTTCTACAACTCTTACGGCATAGCTTAAAAACTAGGTACTTACAAACTAATCTAAATCTACTTTGTCATACTTCGTAACTTATTCTAATTTCTTACATGTCCTGGTCTAACACCGAACACTACCTTCATTTACACTGCCCATCTTAAAATTCACATATTGAATATTCTAGACGCTTCTGCTTATCTTGCTTTATATTTAGGCTCAAACACACAAATTCAAATACACATATTCACACATAAACTCGAATAAACACATCTGGGTAACATTTGGAAGTTCATATAGGAATATTTGGGGGATCATTTGGGGAGAATTTGAGTAACATTGGGAAGAGAGAGGAGAGGGAGAGGAAAGGAGAGATAGGGAGAGAGAGGACAGGAGAGGGAGAGAGGGAGGAAGGGAGAGAGGGAGACTGGGGAGAGATGAGGAGGGGATGGAGAGAGGAGAGCGGAGAGAGAGGAAGAGGGGGCAGAGAGAGAGGAGAGGGAGAGAGAGGAAGGAGAGGGAGAGAGAGGAGAGGTGGAGAAGAGAGGAGAGGGGAGAAGAGAGGAGAGTGGAGGAGAGAGAGAGAGGGGAGAGAGAGAGACAGAGGGGAGAAGAGAGGAGAGAGAGAAGTACAAAAAGCCGAAAACTGAAGGATTGCCTGGTAGATTAATGTGTAATTTGAATGAAATCCTCTTTTAGAGGATCCTAACTTAGAGACTGCTCGGCAACAATATTTTGATATAAAATATGTTGTGAAGGATATGCTTTCAATAAGAAGCATGGCTGCATTCCTCCGTTCTGAAGTGCCTATTTGCGCTTAATTGACATTCTGTTTAAAATTATGCTGTGCACATTTGTCAGTGTACCAACGTGTACATCTCTAATTTACCTGGTTATTTGCGAGTTTCCCTCCGAAATCACGTTTTCTCGAGATCAGGAAGATATCTAGTTGTTTAAAAGTGTTTTAAAAACAGCCCCTAATGAACAGGTTGTAAAAATTAAAACAAAGGAAGCGTTAGAAATTGCTCACAATTATTTTTTTTATTAATCATCGTTATATTCAATATTAATCGTTCAGAAAAGTGTTTGCATAGATTAAATTAAACGCGATTGAAAACATATCCAAAGCTGAAGAGGAGAAATGCGACAAAATTCTCATACTCCAATCTGGTGCGCCTTCTATTTGTATTCGAGTCGTTTGCAACAGTAAATTGACTCTTTCCACCCAACACACGTTCTAAAACCTCAAGCAGAATTTTAATTTCGTGGAAATTTCCGTGGATTTAATTCAAACTTTTACAGTGTCAGTGATCGTTTCGCGCAGTGTCAGCGATCGTGACAAAATATACTTTAATGAAATAAAAATGTTATATTAATAATACCATTTTTATCAAAATATCAAGTTTTATTGACTGTCTAATAAGAAGAAATTAAATGGTATTAACCGTGTGAACATATTCAAGGAACTCTTATTTTACTTTTTCGATAGTTCATAACAAATTGAATCACAAATTCATGAATGATGCGAATAAAACATAACAGAATAAAACACGAGAAGAACGAACAGTGATGAAGGTTCAAACATTTTTTGACTTGTAGAGCAGCTTTGACCGTTTCCATTTTGGCTAATTCATGCTGTTGTATAATTGACTATCTTACAATTATATTGGTTGGAATGGATGTAAAGGATGTAAAGGTGGGTGTAATGAAAATATGCCCAAAGTAACAACACGTTTTTAAAGTAGGGATATCGCAATTGTAAACGAGAAACGGCTGAAAAAGTTCACTTTAAGATCATATGAACATATTAGTTTCACTCTGTTAATGGTTTTAAGGTAGATACAACGTATCTTTGTTTTCCAACATAAAAAGGTTTTAAGATTAATAACGCGAAAATTACTCGGAACATGTGGATGCATATCGTTCCGTTTATTAGGCGCGTACTCGGAAGCGTGAAACAGGGAGTTCTTTATTAGGAATTTCCATCTCAATTACTGCGAGTCTCCATTAAGAGCGGTCACTGTCTTTCCAAATCGCTCTTTTGTGCGAGTTCTTTGTTTACGAAACGATGGCCTGTTAGTTGCAATGTAGCAGACTCATTACGCTGAGAGACTTTTCAGGAAGTCAAGTGTCAGCACGATATTTTCGTCGCCACAGCACGTTGTTCTCTTTAGCTCTTCAAACCGCCTCATGCAGTAAGTTTCCACTCTCAACGTTTTTAAATACACTTCTATGGTCTCAAAATATATGAATGGAATGAAATAAAAAGTACAAAATAAGTAAATCACTAGTAGGTACTAATTTTGTAGGACGCTTTGTAAATCGCAAACTTTTTTCTTGTTAGTTTGAATCAAAAGTAGAAAAAAGAAATTTTGATAATGTGTTGTATTTTTGTGATGTGTATTGTACTTTGCATTTTTATTTATAAGTTATATACATATTTATCAGTACTTTTTCATCAAAATTCATCTCATCAAAATATGAAAAAAACATTTTAAAAAATAGAAGAGGCGATAAGTTTTGTACCATACAAAATGTTCATCTAATATTTGTGTCTACAAACAATTTTGTAAGTACACACATTCGATATATGGTGGTAAAGATTCTCGGGGTATCGCGAATAATAGCTACAGAGTGTGTGCGTAGATTTGGGATTCGTTGCTAGAGATGCAAGGCGTCCACTCGACAAACACTTGAAACACTTCAATCAAGAAAGTGTTTTGCTTGCCAAAAGATCAAATAATTTTTACTCAGCAGCAATAAATAGGGTATCTATGCAAAACGTCTGCTGCAGTGATTTAAATTTTGGAAACAGTTGCTTACCACAACCGTTCATAGTCCACACTCAATTACACTACTTCTTGGAAAGACTTCCAATAGAATTGTAGAAGGCATTAGTTATCACCAGCGACTCCATGAGTAAACGCGTTGCTGAGTATGGTGACTGTAGAGTGTCTACATTGTGCTACAAAAATCAAATAAGTCTCATTGAACCACCATGAATGCTTAACGGCATATGCAATGCCAATGTAAGTTTTGTGAAACAGTTCGATAACTTAAACGTACGTAATTGAAACGAACTACAAGGTAATTCTTATTGAAGAGTTATATCTTTTTAAGGATTTGTGAAAATTAGGATTTGTGTAGATTTTCATTGAAATTTGTCGAAAACTCATAAGTTTTATGTGAAAATAAATTCAAAATTGTACAGTTTCAGAATCACTCAAACGACTTTTTTCCAAATATGGCTCCAATTTTTTCAACCAAAATATCCATATCCGTAAGACCAGGTTTTACTCTTCTATATTTAGAGTAGCGAAAAATTGAGAAAAGCATTGCCATTGTACAGCAATAGAAAACAGCTAGAAAGAGAGAGAGACAAAATAGAAAAGCTAGCCGATACCAAAGAAATTAGAAAATTACCTAGTACGAGAAACTCTGTGCTTTTGTATAGCATCATTATAATATTGAGTGAAATCGTGACAATTTAAAGTATACATAATTTCAATATTTTTTCAAACCTTATATATTATTTTCTTGACAATATTGAAGGTAGAGATTTGTTGAGGCTGCGAGGCTTTAGCGTTTTGGGAGAGCTTCTGAAATAGTTGGATGAAAAGAAACTGCGATCCGTACTTCTAACCTCTGAAACAACAGAAAATTCTGAAAAAAACTATAATAAAACTAAAACTTAAATATTGAAGAATATGTTAGTGTTATTTTTGCCTGGGCGAAAGGAAAACGTTTTCCTGACTGATTATATTTGTTTTGATATCTCATCGCTATTTCTCCTGCTCTACAAGTCACCGTGCACGGAGAATGCAAAACAATTCGTTTCGGAACAGTACCAAACTTGGGTTATAATTCACTTTCATTGCACTCGATATGAGATATGTAATTGGTTTTTTCATAAGCGATGCGATCCGCCATTAGCAGGCTAGACTGCAGACTTCAAACAACGCGGTATCTTTGCAACTGTGAAGGCGTTTGATTCTGGGAAACTGCCGACAATGTGCCATACGGCGCCCGGGACCTGACGCGATCTCTCGAGTGTTTTTGAAAGTCTGCCCACGCGAAATGAATGCTTCCTCTTTGTGAGAGAGCTCGCGAAATTATTTTTAGGGGGAGGATATTAAAACTATCTCGTGCACACGACGTTTGAAATGTGTGCTGTTCGCTAGTGATTTTCCCCAAAGACGGGTAATAATGGCTGTATTCGAATTACAGTGCCAAATTTCAATTTACTTGGCCGTGTATGTGCTAACAAGATTTCTTTTTGAATAAAAATATGTTAAAATAATTTTACACCCGGGTTTATAGTACATGCATAATATTAATAATTAACTCGTTTTCAGTAACGCTTGCAATTGTTTTTACAAATATGTATACAAGGTTTTATGTAAAGGTGCTCTTAAATTTATATTTACATATTTTTCTGCAACGGAACAAAGTGAATTCAATAATATAACACATTACGATTTTTATTAAAACTTCTGAAATTTCAAAGATTCAAATTTGATTTTCTAACTTTTATATATTTTGTACCCTGTCCTACATATTGGATATTTCAAGAGTTTTTTCTTTCATGTAAACTTCTCAATATTTAACTTTTATATTATTTTTGCAAGTACAAGTTTTTTAAATCTGAGTCACTTTGATAATATTTTGAGAAATATTTGAGAATTTTCTGAAGTGTCAAGGAGGAAAAACAACTAAGCTTGAGAAATCGAAGGTTGCGGTATGTGACCGCGCAAAATCGTTTTCCTACCTTGAACATTTCTTGAGCATTTCCTTACTTGAACACAGTACAAATTCAGAATTTCCATTTTCATTAAAACTTTTGAATTTAAAGAAATTAAGAACGAGGGTATACCTATCATTACGTAATCATTCAGATCCGTAAGATAAAAATCTTAATTCAAAATCTGTGAATATATTTTATACATTTTTTTACGAAAGGTGTTGCCAAATTCTTGCTTTTTTAATGCTTTCAAACTTTTCCCATGAACTTACAAAACGGGAATAAAATCAAGATAATGCCAATTCATTTTCTCTTAAATATTTATGTAACAATTCAAACTAGAATAATCTACGACATTCTGCTATTATTTCATCATTTTTGTAAGTATGCATTGTTCGGAAGATACGCACAAAATTACTTGCTGTCATAGAACGACAAAAACTATACCAGTAATTCGAAGAAGAGTTGCTGACACTACAGGTGCTTCTCTAGTTCGCGTGGGGCCGCGCAAATTACATAGAAAATGTCGGTGAATCGGTAGGAAGTGGATACGACTGTTAGCGAACGGGGGGATGGAAGTATAAAATTATGGCCAGAAAACGGAGACGGGATATGTGTTTTCCGTGAAGAGAGATAATACTGGACAAACATTGCCCTAAGACATGCAAAAAAATGTGGGGTAGTAGGTAGTTGAAGAAAACGTGAAAAACGAAACGCTGGAATTGAGGGTGCAAGAAAAAAGAATGTGCAGAATACGCCAGGTTGCCTCGCGTGTTATGGAAACAACTGAACATTGAACTCTAGGAATCGGAGGAAGCCTCTATATATTAAATTAGCAATAACACATGCTACAGCTGAGTTATTAATAATTTGTCAAGTAGGAAAAAATTAGGAGTAATTTGAATTAGTCATTATTATCAGTAATATATATTGTAAGTTTAATTGTAGAAACTCACGGGGAATTCGTAGAGTCCCTAAATTTATACCTATTGAATAAGTTCGATAATGTAGTATAATTAAAGGTTTACAATTAGTAGCTTCTTATGATTGTAAAACAGTAAATCGCCAAAAACGTTGCGGCCCGCTCCTGTATCTGTGACGAGAATGACGGTGCCGAAGGTTTAACCAGTGACCTCAGCGAGCAACGCAAATTTCGAAGAGGCCAGAGAACAGCTGCCGACGCTGTGCGCTTATTTAGTTTCTTTGTGTTAGGACGCGGCCTGACTGGTAGGTTGTTCTTCAAGATCGGGGAGCGGGGGCAGTTGCATAGGGGCGATCGTTCTCTCTGCCGCTTGGTCTGAATGCCAAGACGCAGCAAATAACGTATCAGAATGGAGGCGACGGGAATGGCACCTGGCCAGTCAAAATATGTGTTCTCCCTTTCAATACTAATAAGTATATTAACGTACGAGTAAATGTCTGTTAAATGTGACCATTTAATTTGATAATTTATTCAGGGATTTTAAATCCTTTACATAATTAGATCCGTAAATGAAGTGTACCGACGCAGCTAGTAAACAAATATCACTCACCCTGAGACAACAAACCTGTATATGAACACCTTTTTTTTTCCTTTACGAAATTCATGTCTAAAATGTAATATCACAACGTAAGTAAGTACATATGTGCCAAAGAACTTCACAATTTTAAAAACAAAGCAAACACTCAAAACATTATGATGCACACCCTCAGTCTTTGACCCCTTAGGGGTATTCCTTGTCTCTTAGAGTCTGCAAAATCCTGTTAATACTCCCAGTAAATGCATTAGAGTGGGAATCGAATAGTTTTTATACTAAAATTAATTTCTAAAATCCATCCCTTTTTGGTGGGGTTTTACGTGTCTTCTATAAGTTAAACCTTTATTGTTCTATCCTGTGTCTAGACATCGAGATATATTGGCTATTATATTTTTTGGGCGTTTATCTGATACTTCTGCACTCTTTCTATAGATGTTGTATAGATGTTTGTCCAACATAAAACTTATTACAATATTTACACGAAATCTTAGACAGTGTTTTATTGGTGAACTATACCTACCACATTTTTAATTTGTTAATTGAACTATTTTAGTTAGCAACTTTACCTATGAAGTTTACATAATATTTTTCTTTAAAAATCTTTGTAATCTTATTCTTTACCTTAGAAACATATGGTTTCACCGTACTTTCACAAACCTGGTTATCATTCTTATTAATTCTTGAAATAAGGTACAGTGACTTCAATTTTATTTCTATAGATGGAATATATACTACCAGGGTTTGCAGTAATTTTATACCAATTCCGCATATATCGTAAACGAAAAAATGCGTTCTAAGCTTCGCTTTATAATCCTACATTCACAGTATTTCTTTAAAAACGTATAAATCATAGCGCTGCTTCGTTCTCACTGTGATTACTTCCATTGAGTAGCACGAAGCTAAGACATATCATGAAATAGCGCTATCCAGCTGGGTGTATAAATGTCCGTTTCAGACACATCAAATTTATGTTCAATCACGACGTTGTAATGTGAATAGGAGCACATATGATTTACTACGCCACATCTTTCTAGTACAATTTCATTTATATGTCAGGATTTTAACAATCATACGATAATTTAGCAATCTAAAATGCTGATTAATTTTATTTCCTTCAAGTACAGTATCTCTAGAAAATAGACAAACTGAATTCTAAATGGAATAGTCAAGACCAGAGAAAAAGGCATATGCAACCTTTTTACACGGCAACAGTATTGAAACATCTATGTAAAATCTTCTAGAGAGTTTTTGTAATGCCGTATTTTTCGTTTCCATTTATTTTTTACTTTACATAGAGAGAAATATATGTAGAGGTAAAGGAAAGAAACATCGATATTTTAAAAGAAAAAGTCATTTTTGTAAGTCCCTAATAGCATAAACGGTTTTTATTATCTCGGTAATATATTTCTTTCTAGTGCACCTGATATAAACAAAATCGACACTTTGAAGCGGGTTAAAATTTGAAAGAGTAAAATTTTCAAAAACTTGATGATGCATGGATGAAAGATGTGAGTTTTAAACCTTCGTGAATGTTTTAAGTTGTTTTCGTAGCGTGAAGGAAATGCCATCACTACTTCTACGCTAACGCATATTACACTATTATTAACCAGCGCCAGAAGATGGAATCTGGGAAGAGAGTGGCGCAAAAATAAAAGGCTAGCCAGACTCAATAAAATAGGAGACTAATTATTCCAAAAGTACTTCGTATGAGAAAATCAGTCCACTAATAGTTAATGTTTATTTACTCATATTCAAATAATTTTTACTGATTTGTCTGTTCCAAAAATTAGCTACGCGGGCATGTGTAATGTTGTTCATTTCTTAATATCAACTTAGCAAACACTATTAGCAATACTAAGCAACATTAACAAAAAAATAAATACAAATTATTGTATTTAAAAACTGAAGTTCATTTCGATCTAATCAAGGCAAGCTTGTGTGAATTTTTTTTGTTATAATGCTCTACATAACTTCAACAGTTCAATTTAATTATTGTTTTGTTTATAAAACAAATGACTACATTGCTTCACTATCGAAATAAATGCAGACAGACTCCCCAGGCGCTTCATTTCAATTGATTGTAGTGGACTTTTGCAAGTTCTGGCTGAGATGATAGTACGAAAGAGAAAGCAATATTTTAATATTGTGATCGTTTCCAACAATGTCAGGAAATACGTGCTGTTGTAGAACAAAGTTGCCAATGTAGTGGGAAATTCCATATACGGAAGTAACACATGACACTTCCCCCCGGATTTGTAGGCAACTTCTTATGCTTTTACGATCGGCATGTCAGCTTGTAACGCAGGAAAGGAGATGTCATATACTTGCAGAACACCTGTGTGTTGGGTATTGCCTAGCTTTCAGGGGCAAAGTCATATGAAACTCGTAGAGCTTCGCTGCATGAAGTTTTCAATTGGAAAACGTTAACATTTTCGAGACAGATACATGAACTAGAAGTTGATAATCTTCATTCCGAGACACGTGTTTGGTAAAAAAAACCGCTCCACACATTTGATACGAATATCAAGTAGTGAGTGACTGCTCGCTCAATCCCGAGCAGTTAATGCGCTCGGCGAATGTTCGCTTCCTTTGATGTGTGCAAAAGACCGACACGCGGTGTGTAGGGCGAGCCCAAAATGTTCGTCTCTGGCAAATAACAAGCAAATACAAATAACAGGCTACTGTGGATTCGGCGAGCTGTCGCTAGCTAATTAGCAAATACCGAATTTGCGAAGCCACCCAAAGAGTAAGGACGAGAACATTTTTAAATTAAAGAAAACCGTAACAGATTATACAGTTACATGACGAAAAACAAATGAAGCAACAACAAAATATTAAGTGTCGCGCGCTTTGCGTCTCGCCGTCCGCGGCGCTGCAGCAGCAGCAGCTCCTCATCGACTGCGCGTTTGGCCGCCAGGCGCCTGCGCGGGCGGGCGGGCAGACGGGCGCCACCCTCGCCGCCGCCGGACGGGGCTCCCGCGGGCAGTGGGGCTTCGGGGTGCGTGGCAGCCACACGCACGCACAGGCGGCACCCGCACCAGCAGCACGGGCCCCGCGCCAGGCGACGGCAGCGCAGCGTAGCGGCTCGCGGCGCCACCCGGCAACAGGTAACACGCGCCGTCCTCGCCTGCGTGGCGTTGTGGAGCAGCCTCGCGCCGGGCCGTGGCCTGCAGCCTCGCGCGGTTTAGTGATGGACAGGCGCGCGCTGAAGGCGTTCCGGTACCCGGTAAACACCAAGAAGATGGGGGGGAGTAATGGCGGTCCCCGGAATAAATTGCGAAAAAATAAAACAAAACAGATTTATATTTTTAAGAACCAAACCTACATGTATTTAGGACTATATTACAATTATTTTTATACGTTCGTGCTAAAAGATTTGCAGTTTTTCGGTAGGATTGGGCATACATGATTTTAACATTTTACGGGATCTTTCCGCCAATGCACAGTTCGCCATGACTTTTCTAGAGACTAGTACAACATTCATTATCTTGCTCTGAATACACAACCGTTTTCTACAAACAGAAATACTGAAATAAGATTGCAATGCGTTTCTGAAAAGCTATGTAAGAACACCAGATTTTCCACGAAGATATTTCATATGGCTATTGTTTTCATTTCTTTTTAAATATCTAACAAGCTTTCAAGCTTACATTTTTGTTCGAGCTTACAATTATTATAATAATCAATGTTTTAAACAATAAATCAACTCTTTATCAAAAGAAAAAAAAGAAAGAGGGGAAAACCTTCGCTCTGGCCCGTCGTTCCTTTCCCCTCGAATGTTAATACTATTGAAATCGGCTGGAAACTGAATATACAAAAACTGAAACCTATTTTCTTTAAGAAAGTAAATTCAATTAATCCGTTTCAGTCACTCAGCTCATTCTAATATTGCTAAATGTTTATTAACAATCGATTGATTAGTGTCAACTTTTAAGGTCGTTAGTCTTATAAGTATAGTGTATGTTTTATCTCTTAAGTTGGCAGAGATTTTACTCTTCTGTTGACGAGATCCTACGTCGGCATGTATTTTTCCCTAACCAGGTATCTCCCATTAGCGGGAAGTTAGCGTCCCAGCCGGGACGAGCTCTAAGCTCACACTGGTGAACCCACGTCTCAGATAATGTAGTGCATGTAAGTGTAAATAAGGGTTGGAACAAGAAAGAGGAAGGAAAGATCGCGATCCGTGAACCCATTGTTTGGTGTACCGGCATCAACCTGGTGTTGATCGGAGAAGCTACTGAAAACTACCGATAGTTATAATTCTCTTCCACTCAGCAGCAGAATTCGACCTAGCTATGTAGCTAGCGTCGAAAATCCTGCCCCCGTCGGGACTTGAACACTAGGACCCCCGATAAGAGGCACCGCAGTGACATCAGTTGATGCCTAACAACCTAAAATAGTTATCGTAAAATCCGTGTAATTAAAAAGCAAATTATCACAAACATTAGACACTTTAATTTCACATAGATTTTGAATTTTGCACGTCTTTGATTATCCATGCCATGGAGCGGAGTAGTCTACAAAACTAAGCCTAAAAATGTAATTGATTTAAAATTATTTCATTTTGTAGGATATGGTCTCAGGAAAGTGACCCGGATCCCACATGTTATGGTTCTAAGACGGACTTTTTTCGAATTATGGGACATGATTGCTTGTTACAGAGTAATATGTGTGGCGGATTGCATTTGTAACAGCATAATTCTTCAATTCACTACCTAAAATATACTACATGCTTACTTTCTAAATATGTTTTATGGGTTCCTAGGGAATATATCAAAAACTCTCAGAAATATATCTCTTTTACGCGATTACGAGTAGAAAACGTATAATGAAAAGAACAACAGAGTCAATTTTTCTGAATGATTTATAGAAAGTGTGTGTGTGTGTGTGTATACGTATTTGCGCATACATACATATGCATTTGCAAGAGTTTGTTATTTTGGAAAATTTGAGATATTTTAGATATTTCCGGCACTTTATAATTAACTTGTGAAAAAGGGGTACAAGTTTTCACAATTTAATAATATTAATCTCTGCCAGCAAACAGATGAGTAGTTTCAGATTTTGGTTCTATACGAATAATTCATAAAATTAAAGTATGTGTAGGTAATCCTATATATGTGTATTACACGAGCTTACCTTTCTCTACTGTTAATAATTACTTCACGTGTGAATAATTACATTTATGAAAAGGCGATGACCAAACATTGGCAGGGCGATGATGGTTCTGAAATGAGAGTTAGCCGATCCGGAATAGCAACTCTTAATGCCGACTACAAATGTTAATAAAACATTATTATTTATGCGTAGAAAAACTAATGACATTGATCAAACATTTGTGGCTTTCATATACTAATTTTATTGTATGTAAAAGAAATCAAAAAAGAACTTATAAAACTTCAAGTGATTTTACAATACTTTGCGTAGAATTATATCAACTCATTAATATTTAATTTCTCTTTTTAACACAATTCAATAAAATATAAAATAATAATTAATTCAAAACGCAAAAATATTTTAAACTTTTCGTCATCTTAGCATGTAACTCACTTCAATGAAATGCATGTGGAAAAATGTTCATGTTAAAGTGGGAACATGCTTACATCATGGTTAGATATAATTCAATAACTTTGCGAGAGCGAATGAATGAATCTCGAAACAATAGAAAGTTCTCGAAAGAAAGTTACTCGGTTCCATTTTCTAGGTCTTCAGTACTTCCTTTCGTTTTCGTTAGTTTACAAGAAAAAGTTCAAACCATTAATTTCAATCTTCCTCAAACAAAAATGTTCATGAATCTTCAAAATCTCTTGCTATCACAGAGCGATGTAACTTATCTGTTTGTATAGCCCTTTCGTCCGTGTTTGTAAATTAAGGAAGGTTTAATTAGACTTTTATCTACATAGCGTAAAATCAACATACTAAGGATTAAATATAGTTCCTTAAAATATGTCTCAAACTTGAAGCTTGTTAAAATAAATTCAGTTGACTCCTTTATTAAAATATCTAAAACTGCCTTGAACTGTGATTCCAAACATTTATTCTGATAATTCCAAATGAAACAGACCGGCAACTAATTTTGTTATTGTATTGTGCTAATACAATTCCAGCTAGTACAAAAATTGGTATAAATTAGGAATTCTTGGTCCTATCAAAATGAAGTTAAATTGCATATTTCTAGAATACTTGCGCATTAGACATAGAATATAACCGTACTTAGGTCATTGAACGACTACATCTTTGAACACGGGTGATTTCTAGATAAGTTTAATGTTAGAGATTCAAGGTTTGGGAGAGTCATATTTCGAGAACTTAATAGACAATTGCAGATCTTATGGCTAAAACGTAAGTCTAGCTTATTTTGCACGGTAGTTATGGAGCAACAAAGACCTTCTGAGCAATATACCAAGTAGACGATTGAGCTGTAATAAACATTGAACTGTACTAATAGTTGTAGGCACGCGACATAGCAACATGGAATCATTATTCTATCTCTACAATTGACATATTATGTACAGCAAATGAAGTTTTAGCACGTGCAATAATTTTTTTCAAAATATCAGTTGTTTTTTAGATAATTCTACTGTTCATTAATTGTATTTACGGTCACAGTTTGGAGTATTAAAAATTACTATACCGTTTCTAATGTTATTTGTATTAATGAAGGCAGAAATAAAATTATCACGAGATAGGGCTTGTTGGCATGTGGTGTCATGGTCTCTTGATAACGATACTTTAATTTCTAGGGTTATCTCCGCATGAATCAGGTTTAGTGTAGTGGGGAAATCAAACACTGTGAAACAAACACAGTGTGTAACATTTTTGTTCGAAGAGGCTGTCCTTGGTTCGATTCGTGACGGTAGTGGATGTTCGACACCAGATCACTAGCAGGGACGATGCAGAACAACCTCTGAACGGCACTAGAGATTGTTTGCTCTAAACGGTTGCTTCCGTAATTTCCTCCCGTCAATTCGTGTTGGGTACTGGAGCAGTAGCTTAATAAAGAGACATGAGCCGCGCGCAGCCCTTCTGTAGGTATCGACCTCCATTCCTCGATTCGGATATTGGAGAGATTTTTTATTGACATTCGCTACGAACGAGTGAGTTATTTAGAGGAGATATGAGGATTTTTTCCTTTACGAATGATATCTAAGTCACATGCTCTTATAGAACGGTCCCAAAGATAAATTAAATGTTGGCGTACATTTTATACAAGTAGATTTACCATACGGCTCTTTGCCAGACCGATTTACAGATCACTTTTTTGGTACAACATCGTACGTCGTAAGTAAACGCGATACTCTCTTAAAAACTCAGCGGCATCTGAGAGCCATTAGGTCCAGCGATAAGCACAGCGCTCACTCTGAGATACGGCTAGCCATAAGTTGGTGTTCATTTCTGTCTAAATGTCTGTAACTGCTTCTAGCCACTACGTGAAATATTAATAATGAATGGAGCTGTATTATATTAACGATGCGAAAATTCAGTATGACTAAGTACCGAATGCAAAGTATAGAAAGTATCGAATCGAAGGTTGCAAAAGGTGTGAGCGACGCGCTCACCATCAACCTGCAGACAACGCGAGAAAGCTCGATTGACCGTGCATTAAAAAAATCACCCGGTTTCATCGTTTCTTTATTATACAGGGTGATTCATTCCTCGTTGATACAGGACCCGGTGATAGAGTACACTCCTTCAGTTATTCATCAATGGAAAACGAAATAGTATAAACCCTATTCCATTTTTTTTTTAAATTTCCATTGGTCGTTTTTTGTAAGAACGTTAGCCAAAATATTACATTGAATATTGTTTCCTATAGCTATTATTTCATACTTATCTCATGAATATGAAATGAAAGTGGAAATCATAGTTTATCATATTTGCGTAGGTAGTCAAAATTTCGCTTTTTCACCTCGTGTAACAAGGGTTCTACAAGTGTTCAAAAGATCTTGCTTCTGCATGAACTCAAGGTAGGCATCTATGCCGCACGGCCTCTGTGACGTGCAGAACCTCCCCGAGTTGTACCTTCATTTCTGCCGCAATGCTTTTAATGCGCCGAAGGTCCCCACGATCCTCGACCGCGGTAGCATAAACGCGGGCTTTCTTTGCGCCCCAACTCCAAACGCGTTGAGAGTTACTGAGTTATAAAATTCAAATATTGAACGCTTTTTAAACGCTTGGAAAAAGTGAGTACCGAGGATAAATTCATCCACAATGCCAACTGACACACACAGAGAATTGCTCTTGGTCAAATACATTACGTGGATATTCTCGACCCTCACATGCAAATTGTGCACATTAATTGTGACAGATTTTGTGAAACACGCTTCATCTGACCAATGAACAAAATTCCTGGTTTTGTTTTCATTTATACAGGAAATATCTCGAAAATTGAAAATGACGTTAAACATGTCTATTGAGCAAATGCGGCACGCGCTGGAAATGGAAAAGTCGTAATTTCTACATTCAGTTCTCAAAATGTTAAATATATTTTCTAAAAATTGTAAATGATTAGTCATCTTTTATTATAATTTGGTTGTTAAATCAAAAAAATATTCATGTTTTAATGATTTTTTGTTTTTCTTCTTGTGGTAGAAAACTGATGATGGTAGCGAAGCCATCAAAAGCTGCTATTGCAATAAATAATATTGTTGGCCATGACACAGTTATTTAATTGTAAATGCCGAAGAAAACTCCAATAGCAATACGTACCCTCTTTGAATGGATTGTTCGCTCGACGAGAGACTGATGGTTTGACCTCGCGCGAACGGTTTCAGATAAGTTTGGTTTTCTTTGCATTTGCGCAGGAAATGCCTCGATAATTCAGAACGACGTTGTAATTCTGTACTACGCAAATGCTGCACCCGCTATTGATAGATAGTATGCAATTTCTCCGCATGTGTTATTCGCCAGGTGACGGCGATCTTACACACTATTTGCCTTGCGCTCGCTTCCAGGGCTTACCTGAGAGTAGCAATAAGCAAGTTTTCCAGAGAAGAGGAGAGACGATGTGAAGCAGCTCGCTCACTTGCCGGAGCCCGGGTTACACAAGCACAAGCGCACAGTCCAAAGTTTAACTTTAATTATTAACAAACCTAAACGTAGAGGAGTATCCAATTTGGGCAAATTCAGTCTGTACATTACATGAGGGATAAGTTCCCGGCGAATTAGCAACGAGCACTGAATAACCTGTATAACTTATGTTACACAAAAAAATATTATTTAGATATTGTTGTATTTAATGTAATAAACTCTCGGCATGAACTCGCTTAACACGAATTTCGCCGTAACACGAACAAAACTTGGGTCCTGGCAAGAAATTACAGCAATACGAACATTTGTAATAATCGGATGACACGAGTTGTTACAACATGAACTGGTCATTAGAGATTACATCACAACTGGTCGAACATCATTTCGGTCCCTTGGAATTCACATTAATGAGGGTTTACTGTATTAAGCTTCGATATTATTAATTGATTAATTAGTGCTTCTGGGAGCGTCAGCTGTTAAGATTATTAGTGCCGCAGGAGTAGTGCACGTTTTCATCAAGAGAGATGGCTATAATTTTTCCTACTGGTTGTAAGTTCCGGCGCCAACCTACAGGTCTTGCTTTTTTTCTATCCTCGTATCTCCCACCAGCAGATCATCAACCAATTGGGCCATGCTCTAAGCTGCCGACTAGTCTCCCGGCGTATACTAGAGTAGAGTATGTTAAGGTAGAACAAGGAAGATCAATGAAAGATCGCGCGCGGGTCGTGTTCCATTTGTTAGGGTATTATTCCGGCATTCGCTTGCTGATAATCGGAGAGACTACGATAAAGTACGGATCAGCGTAGCCGGGCGTTGGAATTCTCCAGGCAGCAGATGAATTCGTTCTATCTATATTGAACAATGTTATTATATATTATGTATATTAATGTCAGCTATACAGCTACTGCCGAAAATCTTGCCGATCTTGAGATATTATTTTAATTATTATCATTATTATTTTATATACTTTATTTGAATATATTAACAAAAGTATTTAAAAGAACAGTTTGTGGATTGTAAAAAGAGGAAAAATCAATTCATAAAGTGAAAGAGCAGGTCTAATGGCTTGAGCCTCGCCATCAATATATAATAATAATAATAATAATAATAATAATAATAATAATTAATAATAATAATAAATTAATAATAATAATAATATAATAATAATAATTACTTATGTATTATTATTACAGTATAGGACCATTACCTGTGTACGCTACACGATTAACATGTGTACATTACTTTGGATCACTTTTCAGCTGTAATCCCTCATTACGACAAGTTGTTATGCTTGAAGTGAATTAGGAGATGATATGATGATGATGACGATGATGATGATGATGATGATGATGAGTGGTCAAGGGTCAATCACAACAACGATCAATTTTACGCAGGACTTCAACCTGCAGCCTCCTCGGCACAGAGGAGGCGCCTCAACCGTCTGCGCCCGGCGCGTTGACAATATAAGAACGTTATTGTTATTATATATTATATTATTATTATTATTATATTATATTATTATAATTATTGCAAACATTAACATCATTTAAAATACTTCAAAAGATGCGATTTTCGACAGGTCTTATATCTTAAACCCTTTGAGAGATTTCTTGGTTTGTATGGAAAGTAAAAAGCAAGGACCATATCTTCGATACTACAAACTTTTGTCAGAGTACGCGCAAAAATGCGTTTTACCTTCTTTTTTCGAATACGCACAGAGAAAACACATCAGTAATCCTATCTCTACATCTTCCACAGTTTCCTCTAAAAATATTGACCAGTTTGTCAGCATTAGAGGTTCCATTTCTAAAAATTTTAATTGGAACAAACCACATTATGTTCATTTCTTATCATTTTAAAAGGTTGGTTTCGTAAAACACCGATAAAGAATTTCAAAACCAAATAAATTATAGGCGAGGGTGAAGACGCCATTTTTTTCGCAATCTGACACAACACACACTCTTATGAATGCCTGCACAATACAATAGAATTTGTTTATTATTTGTATCTAAGAAAAACAGCTACAAGAGACTGCAGACTTTAGAATACTTGGAGGGAGCCTAATGGTTAGCAAAATTTGAATGCAAGTGCTAAGCTCATCATCGATCTATGGTGAGGTAAAAAATATTGCGCATCAAAATATCAGTCAATACATTGATTGCAGTCGCGTCTCAAACACGAACTAAGACCCAAGATCGACTATAATGATGAAATGTAGTTGTCTTGCAGTCCAATATTGTAGTTGGTCTTCACAATTACTTTATTATTATTTTAAGATATTGAAATTAGTGTTTTATATTATAAACCGATAACAAGAGCAACTGATTGAACTGCTCGACTTTAAATTCTCTTGTTTTTACATCACAAATTTGTTAAATGCAATGTCCTAATTTGTTCCAAAACCGAAACCTATTCTGTTTTATGTAGATGTATTGAGGGTAGTTCGAATTAGAAGAATACAGGCTTCGAACCAATTTCAAATGCAGCTTATTTTTATACGCCCTTCATCACGCAGTCCTGTCAATAAAAACGCATCAGGTATTTTTTGCCAGTTCAATCCCCCTCTGCTTCAATTATCGTTGAACCCTCTCCTCGAGAGCTGCTCTGGCGAGATGAAGCCGCTCGCTGAGCGTGGCGCGCGTGGGCGGGGCCATAGTGATTAGCGCGGCGCGTTGGCTCCGAACGATCCGCAAGCCAGAGAGCAGCAGCGGCGGCGGCGGATACCTGTTGCAGCCGCGCGCCTCCACGCCACTCGCGTGACCAGACGCTGCTCTCTCGTGGCTGAGCCGTGGGTTCTGTTTGATATAATGCTGATTTTGATGAGAATGATCGTTGCAAGGCTGCCTCTCGTCGTGGCTGAGCATGGTTCTGTGTTGATTATATGCTGTTATCTGAGAATGATGCTGATTGCAAGACAGCCTCTCGCTTGCTGGAGCGGGGTTCTGTGCTTTGATTATAATGCTGATTTTGATGAGAATGATGCGATTGCAAGGCTGCCTCTCGTCGGGCTGGAGCCGTGTTGTTCTGATTTTGCTGATTATGATGGGAATGCATTGAGAACCTCTGTGGAGTGGTTTTGATATTATGAGAATATGCTGATTGCAAGCAGCCTCTCGTCTGCTGGAGACGTGGTTCTGTTTGATTATAATGCATGATTTGATGAGAATGGATGCTGCATTTGCAAGGCTGCTCCTCTCGTCGTTGGCTGGGAGCCCCGTGGGTTCTGTTGTTGATTATAATGCTGATTATGATGAGAATGATGCTGATTGCAAGACAGCCTCTCGTCGTGTCTGGGGCTGTGGGTTCGGTTGTTGTTGATCATAATGCTGTTAACGATTATGATGCGTATGATGCTCATGGTAAGACTGACTCTCATCGTTAAATAATAAATGAGGAAATAGCAACCTGAAGAGTTTGCTTGAAAACATAATTACTATCGTTTAAAATATCAGACTTTGAAAGTCCAACTACAGTTTATTGTGTGTTAATTTATTGTAAACCCAAGTACGTGCAAGAATTATTTCCACTTTCAGATATTGTGCACAATAAGTTTTCAATCCAGTCTGGATTATAAGTTAAAAACACCCGTGTTATTTATAAACTACAACCTTTTTCCAGGAACATATCGTATGTCCATAAATGACTGATCTCGATTATTGAACTCCATATTTTGAGAACTTGTAACGTCAGACTTTTGCTGTCATATAGAAGTGAATATTACACCCAACGTGTCAACACGTTAAAAATTTATTCAGTTTCTCATTTTATATCGAGAAGGAGATGAATATTCGTTTTTTTTATTTTTTAAGCTCGGTTTAGTTTGTGAGACAATATACGCCTTTATCACTTTTTATTGATCTATGATAGAAGAAGTCGTTATTTTGGTTCGCATTTCATACCAAAAACAGATAGGACTCTATCAAATATGAATTCGCCTTCCTAACCTATACATGTTAGCACAAGACTTCTGATTAAACATTTATACTTTTTTATTGTGAATTTTTAACTTGTCTGTATTTTATTGTATTAGTGCATTTCAAAACTAAACTTGAATACATGTTCTTTTATTTCTTTATTGTTTTGTGTGCAAATGAATAGTTATTTCGTTTCCGCAACATTTAATGATTAGGCCCAATATTAATTTGCATTTGAAGTATTTGTCTATTACAATGCAGAGAGTTCTCTTATATCTTGAGCAGCATAAAACAATATTCCCTTTTACTGAAAAAACGTTATTTAATATTTTATATCAGAATTAGTTTCAATTGGAATTGAATTATATGATTATATTATATGAATTTGACAAGAATTTCAAAAGTCCTTCTCATCACTGTCCTTCTCAGCAAGTTACTGCAGATTAAATAATTGCGAGCTTTTGTACATGTCGCATCTTTGTTTTCGTTAACAGCTCCGAATTTAATTTCATACTTGATAATACATTATTAAATTTAATTAGCTACATCATATTAAAATAACTTCGTTTCACTTTTACTTTTAAGATATTTTAATCAGTAATCATTAGCTCAACACTATTATAAAATATCTTTCAATTTTACACATTTATTGTAGGTATTGCCTTGTTTTGAATTCAACCTCAAGGATTTGCACCGTTTAAAAAAGGCAGATTCATCTTCTCCCCATTTTTCCAACAAATTCGCAACCTCGTAAAGTTTGCTCATGTAGTAACGGTTTTAATCATTTTGTGATAGCAGCTAATACCATGATGAATCATTAAATGGTTTGGGTTTCAATTACTAAAATTTACTTTTAATAAAACAGCCACTGATTGGAATGTTTGAATCAACTTAAACATGTAATGTGATTTGTATTTGTGAAATTTAACCACGTTGTAAAATTAATTTATTTCTGTATGACCCTCGAAACATGGAAAAAAAGTATTTTGATTATTAATAACGTCCTCGATGACCAACTAATTTAAAATCAGTCGGAATATGAACTAAGGCAACACTCCCACGTAATCGCGAAACGTCAAACAGATTACTGGTTTTTGGAACGAGGATTTAATTGAATAAAAAACGCAAATGTATCAGGAACTGGCGGGCGATTTCGGACACCCCGAACTATGTGAATATTCATTTTAGAAATGAAATTCTATTTATAACCTAATTTACGGGCAGTGGTAGTTCGTAGAACTGCCAGGTAATAAGTTATTATTATAGTTATACCATTTGTGAACAATGTTTCCCTTCGAAAAACATTATGATATTGTTAAACATTTATTTAAACATAGATACAGACACGTGCGATTAAAACGCACGTATTATCAATTAGTCAATTTAATTTTGCCATCTTTCTGTATTCTGCACGTTTCTGATCACCTGTACTGAAGCGGGGATACCCTAAAATATTTTAGAAAACATTAGATTTGTTTTTAATTCTGCTAATAACTGTGGCAAATTGGTGTCAGAATATGTTAAATTTACTTTAATTTATCCTGCATTGCGTAAAAAAATAGTTTTCCACATCATCAAACCTCACTTCCTTACACTGGACTTAAATGCCTTTCTTACACATATTTTTACACTTCGCAACACAATACTGCACTTAAATATTATACGTATTATGTGCCATTTTAGGGACGGATTAATACTTTTGCCAGCTAACAGTGTTCTAGGTTTGGAGCCTCTTTTTAATTATTATCCACACCTGTAACTTAGGAAGACATGTAACAAGCACGACGTCTTCCCATCACCGTTCTCAGGTTGCTTGGTTTGTCTGAACATTTTCTTTCGACCCAGAGCTGTAGAAATGGAAACAATTTGTGTTACAAATCTACACCTTCATTCCTGCCCCGTCTGAGAATCCAACACGTGACCGCCTCAGAGAAAGCTCAGGCTTTGTCATGAGCCACTCGACGGCACATAAATGATAACAATAACAGCAATAAAAACAATTTCAATAACAACAATAACAATACAACTTATTCTGTAGTAAAGACTAGAAAATAGCAACATGAAAAAATCGGTAGTGTACATGTAAACATCTAGGAATTGTAATGCATTTTTAAACTTTGCCAAGCTTTAAGGAAAAGGTTGAATATTATTGCAGATAAACTGTTCTATCTCTAATAGTTTGATTCGCAAATGAACATTTTCCAGCGTCCGTTGTATGTATCCTTGCCTGAATTTTGTACTAGTGGCTCTGCCGAAGAATGGTTTCCCTCAACGACGTTTTCAAGTTACGTACGGTAGTGTGTGAAGCTGCTTAACGTGTATTATGTGATGAAAAGAATCCAAAATTGTGTTATTGTGTGGTCGTGTTTTTCATGGAGAGGGGTTTGCACCCATTGTGGTTTAGTGAGGAACTATCACGGCACAGGCCCACGTTCATGTTTTAAACACCTTCTTACTTGCCACTTTTAGAGAGCATTTCGGGGATGGCGATTGCATACCGATTCTTTCAACACGATCGAATACCTATTCATTCTGCACGGCATGTGGCGCAGTGGTTCTACGACAATAACATCCCTGTAAAGGACTGATCTGAACAGAGTTCTGACTTGAATCCTATCGAACCCCTTTGGAATGTTTTGGTGCGCCGACTTAATGCCAGGCCGCACCGACCTACATCGATACCTCTTTCTCACTGCAGCACTCCGTGAATAATGAGCTGCCATTCCCCAAGAAACCTTCCAGCACCTACCCCAAGAAACCTTCCAAACTATGCCTGCGGAGTGGAAGATGTCATCAAGCCAAAGGATGGGCCAATATCCTATTGATATCCAGCATTGCCGATGGAGGGCGCCACGAAGTGGAAATCATTTTCAGCCACGTGTCCAGATAC